GTTGTGGTGTTTGCTTGTGTCTTTCTATGGTGAAACAAGGAAGTTTGATTTCTAATGTCTGAGTTAAAGAATCATCTTTCTGAAGTGAAAGTCTCTGGGCTTGTCAGCAAGCCAGGTTATGACATGCAGAGCCCCCCTGCTGCAGCACTTCACCAGCCCGTTATGAGCAGAAATCCACTCCAAGGTGCTGGCTTGGATCTAAACAAGAATCAGTTGCCAGCTGTCAGTTCTGAGATGAGAACTCAGCAAGATGGTATGGTTATCAGTCCTGGTTGCAGGAAGTAGGGTGGCAAAGACTACGGAGGTACACAGATGCACTGCAACATGTGTACAGGACCCAGCCCCAGGGGGAATGCACTCAATGGACCAAATTCCAACAAGAGCAATTTCCACAACCATGGATCTGAAAGCAGCTCAAGTGGAAGACTTTGGAGACCAAGCACTTCTTGCCAGCACAACAAACTCTATTTTAGATTTCAGGGGTGGGGGAGGGCACTTAAGTTTGGAGCAGAGGGCCAACACACAAAAGCAGAAACCTGCTGCAGCTGGAGTACCTGAGATTTGTTTGTTTGTTCCCAGGTTGCCTGAATGGCAAGGTCTGGAGCTTGTAGCTGTCATGTATGTCACCAGGAATACTCTTGTGTGACACTTCATACACGGTCTGATTTGGATAATTGTTATAGAGCAGTAGTTTTCAATCTGTAATCCATGGACACTTGGGGGTCTGCAGACTATGTTTAAGGGGTCCGTGAAAGATGACTGATCAACAAAAGTATGTGAACATCCACACTTGCAATTCATAGGGGTCCACACCACCATTTGAAATTTCCAAAGGGGTTCATACCTCTATTTGAAACTTTTTAAGGGTCTGCAAATGAAAAAAGGTTGAAAACAACTGTTACAGGATAGTCCTTGGGGCTAGAGGGCTCAATGATTTTTTTCCTTTGAATTTGAATTCACTTTGTTTGCCTGATGCCATCATTTACTCTTTGTAAAATAAGGCACTTTAAAAACCGTTTCTCAGAATATTTAGAAGTGTAGGAGTTTTTTCTTTTTTTTTAAATGTACTTCTTTAAAAACTATAATTTACTAAAAGTTAAATTGACATGTATAATTGTATTCATTTTAAATTAATTTACCCAGTAATTTATACAACAGTAGAGCATTGCTAGTAAAGTCCTGGGAACAGGGAAAAGTTAACTACAATAACTATTCATGTAATACTTGGAAAAATAAAATTTATCTGTTTGGAGTTTTGTTGTGCATGTTTAATAACTGAAATAAGAATAAAGCAAAAGAGCAAAAACAAAGAGGTTTGGGTAACTTTGTCAGTACAGCTTGCAGCTGTGTAAGTTAAAGTCCGTATTATGAACAAGTTGTGTGGCTCAAGCTCGGGAACAAATCTAGACATTAGGGGCACTTTTACATGTGCTTGCAGAGGTGGTGGAGGGCTGCACTTTAATTAAAGTGGCTTTTAGACCTACTCTAATTAAAGCGCTGCAGCGTCTCATGTATTAGTGTCCCCGTGCTTCAAAATAGCAGTTGGGCACTTGTTGGAGCTTTAGTTCAAGTGCCCCATGGTCATTTTGAAGCCCAGGGATGGTGATACACGAGACATGGGAGGCCGCTGGAGTGTGGTAATTACTACACTTCAGCGGACTGTTAATCAAGTCTGCTTCAGCACACAGTAATTACTTTGTATCAGAGCAGTCTCCGCACTCGTGTACAGGCAAACTAAGCGTACTCTGAGGGTTTAATCTCTCTGTGAAGTACTTCCTGGCTACCCCATACTGCAAAAATAGAGGGTCCTGGATTCTGATCCTTGATGGTGGGTATTGAGTACCAGTTCACATTCAGGAGTTGTAGAGAACAAGAATAAGAAACCGACATTTCTGCTTACTGTCAGCTGCTTTTATTTTCTTGGCAGCTTGAGTCAACAGTCACTCCTTGGCCTGGGGAGTAGAGCTCTCAATTTGATGTATAACTGTCAAGCTTTGAAAGCTACCCATAATTAAAGCTGGCTGTTGTGGTGACTGCCCTGATCCTAGTGGGAGGGCAGAAGAGGTGAGGAGAATAAAGGCAAAGGGATCAGTTTTGAACAAGGAAGTCAGTAGCTTAAGCATAAAGTAAAGGAGGCTTTCGGTGGCTGATACGGCATGTTTGAGGGAGAGAAGCTGGAGGACCAGCCCACAAACTGGAAGGTTCAGTTAATACATTTGAATCAAGAGAAATACCTCTGTGGCAGGGGTTTCCACTAATCAGTATCTCTTACCTTATAGTGAACAACTGGATTGGAGCCATTCTCATAAAACGCTGATGATGACAACAATATGGAAAATAAAAAAAGTACCTCTGAGAAGAGAAACGGAGTGGCGGAAAGCCTAGTACTGTCTGCTTTCAACTATGCCTTGCAGTGTGTCCAGCAAGTCCAAGGTATGTGGGGGTATTGGAGGGAAAGGTGCAGAAGTTAGGGAGCTGCCTGTTTGACTGAACATTCTTGGTAACCAGAAATATCAACGTATGCTAGACACAGTAATCTTGGCACTTGCAAAGAGGAATCATTAGCTGTGTTAGTCTAAAGTCAGGTAGAAGGCAGGGCAACGTGGTGTCTTAGAGACTAAGGCTGCTTACACATATTCAAATAATCTGGAAAAATTCTCCCAGGTTTGTTCTCCTGGTAGAAAAACTTACCCAAACCATGCATACAGATGTTCACATTCTGAAGCCCTGAACTGTGGAGAGTGTGCAGTGCTGACATTGTATAGCAAGGGCTATGTCCACATCCCAGGGATCTTGATAGACTCCTGTAGTTTGCCTTTTGATACATGGTGTCGCCGCCGAGAGCCGCGGCGCGGGGTTCGGGGCTTTAGGAGCCCTAATCGGTGGGCGGGTACTTGTGACGCTTGGAGTGGAATCAGGTACTCAAGCGTTTGGATTGAACAACAGATTGTTTACTTACACTGCTCGTACAGTGCAGGTCAGAAACTTGCTTCGATTACAGTTGTAAAACTTGGGTCGGGCAGAAATTACAAAGTTGGTTTGGTCGGTCTGCAAATGTGTCGGGGTGTTCGGGTTATTCGGGCCGGCAGTCGTCTTACGTCTCGGGTGGGGGTGTGCTAGGCCCCCTTGGGTCGGTGACGGGGAGTCCTTAGTGGTTGATCAGGCCGCTAAGTTTGCTCTGAAACACGCGTGGAGTTTGCTAGGCTCCACAGTGTACTCAGAGTTCTCCACAAGGTGCAAGCCAATAATGGGGCTCGAATTAGAATACAAATGGCGGGAACTCATTGCACCGAGCATTTCTTAGATGCAAAAGAAATGCACCGTGCAAAGAAGCTGCAAATTGGCGGGAACTTTTTCTAGGTCATTAATATATAGTCACTGGGCTCTGGAGTTTTCCCCTCGTGACCTAATTACATGACCTACTTACAGAATGATTGACAGACTGCCTTCTGTAATCCTCCACTGTACTATAGGCATATGAACAATGGGTTCTGACACATGGCAGAAGTGCATAGGGCAGCACTGATTGGCTAATCCAGGCTGCCCATCAACAGCCTGTGTTTCCCTGCCGCACTGTCAGGATTGTGAAGGAGGCATGGTCTGCTCTGTGCTGGAGCAGCAGAGTCCAGTGAGAGTCACTGAGGGGGAGGGTGTGGGGGTGGGGCAGAGGGAATGATGGAGGACTGTGTTCTCTTCTGAGAGAAGCCACAGCATGTATAGACATTTACTCTCCCAGGAGAAACTTTCCTAAGACTGATTTAACCCTGGTTGTTCCCAGGTTATTTTTCTTCTGAAATGGCCATTTTTGCTGTGGTAGAAAAAGCCTGAATGTCTGTATACTTGTTTCTTCTGGGAGAGCAGTGACTCTCCCAGGAGAAACTGAAGGTCTGTACAAGGCCTAACTAGTTAGTCTCTTAGCTGCTACCTTGCCCTGCCTTGTAACTTGCAGTAAGTGACTTCTTTTGAACTCTAATTAAATAATTGCTTTTACTAGAAGTGCACTGATAGAGATTTTGGGGGTCCAATATTAATAGCTGATTTTTAAGGAGGCATGTTGGCTGATGCCCATTCGATTTCCGATACAGCTGTGTGCAGCTGGTAAGTCTGTTGTGGTAAAAGGGAGTGGGGTGGGGAGGGAAGGGGCATGGCGGGGCATATCAAGGCCCCCATGGTGAGGGAGGAGTGGGGCTGGGACCAGTCTGCAAGCACTGTCCAGCTGGAGCAGGCAGGCGCGGGATGGAGCTGTGGCTCGTCCAGGATGGGGGGCGGTTCCCGCTGCTACGCACCACTTGTCCAGAAGCTGCTTGTCCGACCCTCGCTCACTCATCCAGTGACTCCTGTCACTTGTCCAGGAGGGCGTGGGGGGGGCGTGTGCCCCTGGATCTGTGTGGGGCAGGCTGGGTGGGCTGCAGCTGTACTCGGGGTCGGTGGCGGCAGTGCTGGGAGGGGGGCTATGGAGGGGGCTGCAGCCACCCCAAAATTTGCCATAGCCCCCTCCCAGCGCTGCCCCAGCCTGCAGCTGCTGCCCACCCAGCCCACCCCACCCTGCGCAGATCTGGGGGCACACATCCCTCCCCATGCCCTCCTGGATGAGCAGCAGGAGCAGTGGTGGGACCCGCCAGACAAATGGGCGAGTGCTGGATGAGCAGCTCCCAGATGAGCTGCATGCAACGGCAGGAGTCGCACCCCCCAGATGAGCCGCAGCTCTGTTCTGCACCTGTCCCACCCATGCTGGGCAGTGCCTGCCCCAGCCCCAGCCCCACTCCCTCCCTCACTACTGTGAGGGGCGTTGATCTTCCCCCTCCCCCCTTGTCTTCCACCACAACAGCCTTACCAGCCGCACCCAACTTTCCACGCTGCCGGTCTGTGTTCCTCACTGCCCGCATGCTGCACTGTGGCTGCACGCACATATAGGTATTTATTGGCCACACCAGGCCAATTTTTGACATAGTCAATTCTCTTTATATAGGTGCCGATCCAATACTAAACTGATGTATCGGTGCACCTCTAGCTTTTACCTAGACTATCTTCCACCTCCAGCTTTTCAACCAATATCTTCCTTTTAATCAAGATACAATCTGACATTGTTTCCTAGTAGCTTCCTCCATCTTCTAAAATAAAGAGCTGTCCTTAACCCACACCTGGAGCTTAGGCAATCTGTGTCTTTCCATACTGCTTTTCCAAGAGATACTGATGTAAATGGTCAGGTTGTAAGACTGGTTTCCAAAACGTGTTTTTCACTGACATGCTTGTGTATTTGTTTTCCCTGGTTTATCAATTAGCAAACAGCAAGTTTTTCCAGGCCCTGTGTGACTGTGGACTATTCCAGATAGATGTGACCATGTAAAGCATTGAGGAGCTGGCAGCAGTCGCATCTGAACACACCCCAAAGAACACAGTAAGGAATTCTGGGCACAATCAGGGAATTGCCTCCCAGTTCCTTTCTCTGTATGGTCCTCTCAGCCCCACTATGGAAGTAAGGTTTGAAATAATTGAGGAATGATGAATATTTGGGATGCATTAGCCATAATAAGCCTTGAATAAGCATGTACACAGTGAGAGACTGCCTCATGAATGAAGATTTAAACACAGCTCTGTAATTTGAGAGCAGATTTCAGAAGTTTTGTCCTGGCCAGTAACTTTTTTTTATCTTTGTGGCTCCATTACTGTGCTTTGGAGAAGTCTTCCCTTGAGGTCATGTCTCTTTTTTGCTGGATGCATTTGTGGTGGTGTTTTCCTTGTTTTCTGAGTGGATGGTGCATCTCTCTGAGGAAGCTGCTTCCGTTTTGAATTGAAAGAAGAAACACTTGGACTCCTCCCAGTTTGTGGAGCTACTTGCCCCTCAGGACATCAGCGTGTTCTATATGCACACTGACCAGTCCTGTCTCCCACTTTGGACCATGGAAACCCAAGCAGGTGACTAGGCAGTATTCTTCACTGCTTTATATAGAACAGTGATTGCCTTTAAAAACTAATGAAGGGCCTGGCTTATATGTCCCATTGAGAATGGGAGGCGATATATATGGTTTAAGGTGCTTGTGCAGAAGAATACAGTGTCTCCTCCACATTGTTACCACTTGCACTTAGACATAAGCACTTCATTTGATATCAATGCTGGTTCATCTCTGACCCTTTCTGCAGGCTTGGATTCTTGTACACAGAGATTCCTGGTACTTGAATTCTTATTTGGAAAAAGTCGCTTGGAGATATTTAAGTTCTCCAAGTGCTGTCTCTTCATTCAAAGTGCTATTATTCTTGGAGCAAGAGGGAACTGAATAAAAACAGACAACCAAATTCAGAAATGACTGTGTAAATCTAAATTGGTGTAACTTTGTGTTACAGCTATAAGACCACATATTTAACTTATTGCCCACCTACATGTTAGCCGGTGTAGCCTCACTGGTTCTAAAAAAAAAAAAAATGTACAAGCCTAAAATTAGTCTTAGATTGACTGTGTAATTTGCTTTCCAAGGAGTCAGGAGAGTAAACAGGAAAAGCAGCAAGCAGAGCTGCTCAGAATGCTCTTCAAATCTGAATAAGAGATGTGCATTTCATTATGACAGCTACAGGACTAATCTTCTTCTAACTATTTTGCCTAGTTTGTTGTATTTTTTAAACTTTACTTGTAATCTAGCAAATTAGTATGCATTCCTATAAAATTATATTTGTTTTTGCTTTGATCTTAAATTGATTAATATAGTGCCAGGCTCCTAGCATATTAGTAAAGCTTCTAGTTTCTCTTTAGGTGGAAAAAATATATGTTGTGTTGTGAAGATCCATCACACCTTATGCGCACCCCCTTTTTCAAAATCCCAGATCCACCTATGTCTTTCATTGCAATAGGGATAAAGAGCTAAACAGGTCAGAAAATGTCCTGTACATCTGCCCTATTCAGTGCTAGATGATATATTTGATGTTCATTAATGAAAAGGGCTAGTGGCTATGTATAGGCAGCCTCTCCCCTTAGTCATCGGTGTCATTTATCCATGGGTTTCAGAGCAGTGTGCCTTTGTTGGGTTACTTACTTCAAGATTTGATTGGAACATCCATCTTGATGTATTTGCATCCAGAACACCACCCACTTATAGTTGCCATTTATTGGAAGAGTAAGTCCAATTTGCTTGAAAGGACTTGAAGGACATTATAAAATGTTATCCAGCGTCATGCTGTTTTTCATGTTGCTGATCTTCAACACAGTCATGAGTCAGGTGTATTCAAGCATCTGATTTAAGATTAAAATACTTACTAAATTACTAACACTGCACTGAAAAATCCTGAGTATTTGTACTTCTCAGCAGACATGCAAAATCAACTGTGTCCTGATTTCTGTACAGTCCTGAAGTTTGCAGTCCAGCTGCCTTTTGAACAGTTACCTGTTAGACTCTGTACTTAGAATGGAGATTGTCATCCTAGACACCAGCTGTTCCAGCTTTGTGAAACCCTGGAATAGGAAGGTCATATTACTGTTGGCTGGCACAAAGTCCAAACAAGTCTGCTATGGAACCCTTCCATGCTGTACATTCAGAAGGGCAAAATCCTTCTCTTCCTTCTGGGAGTGGACTGCAGGCAACAAGGGTACCTGGAGCAGAGCTGTCTGGCAGTGTGCTCAGCCCAGTTCTTAAAAGTAATTCAGGCTTCGCAAGGGAAGGACTGTGGATGATGACATTTTGGCTTTCATTTCACCAAAGTGCATTCCATGTATATAACATGAAGTCCATTATACCATATTAAGGGATACTTATAAATACCTAGGCAGAGTATCATGTCAGGTTCTCTAAGAAAAACTAAAGAAGTCAGGGGCGGGGGAGATCATAGTAAGGGGTTATTCTTTGTCTTTGGATCCTCATTTGGGTGGGTGAAGGTTCAATGATGCCAAATCGACTGTTTCTTTATGGAGACATAGCATGTCATCTCTGGGCAGATTAATCCCCCTCGTCAGTTTCTTTTTTAAAACCCCCGGTAGGACCTGAAGTGATGCTTCTGCTGATGTAGCACAGGAGCCCTCTGAATGAAGATGTATGTGCAGTAAAAAGTAAAGAGCTGAGCAGTGTCAAGAAAGAGATCAGAGAACTACAAGGACAAATATACAAACTGCTTCTGCAGGTACGGGGGTGAAGAAATATTGCAGCACTAGCACGAGTCTTGCTGTGTGGCCCTGCTAGGAGGTGTCAGGTATTCTATACAAAAGGACTGCAAGAGGTGTTGGGTCAGAGATGGGCTCCTGAGGCCACACAGAGATGGGAAAGAACCTCAGGGAGGAGCAGTCTATACTTGATACTTTGGTTAAGTTGTATGTTGGAGACTAAAACTGTCCTTAATGAGACTTGGGTTTGGCATGGAATGCTTCCTATGTGGGTAAAGGTTCCCCAGCTTGCAGCTTTAGGGAATAATCCAATTTCTCTAATCTCTGCTGATTCTTTTGAACTGTTGTGTTACCAACTGTCTTGTTCATTCCTTCTTTTTTGCCATGGTTGTAGAAAGAATCAGTTCTGCCTCTCTTACAGCCAGTCCACAGCAATGGCTCTAGTGGTTATGGAAGCCTTGGTAGCAGTGGATCTTACGAACACTATATCAGCATAGCATCTTCCAGTGACTCCAATGGAAATTGTATAGAAGAAATATGAGAACCAGTAAGTATGTAACTGATATTACCCAGATACAAGTGGAAGTGCAATAATTACACTGGAATGTTTCATGGCATACAAACACTACACATAGTGAATTATACTGAAGTGAGAAAGTACAGCCATGTAGGTCTCAAGTGTTTGAATTAAATATACTTGGGATTCAGCCAACATACAAGAATCTTAAAATTGCAGTAGTAACTATTTACCTGACTGAAGTAAGTAGATAGTTAATATAAAGGTACTTCACAGCAAGTTGAAAACCTCTGCAGTGATGTGACTTCTCTCAGAACTATTGTGTTTGACAGGATGGGGTGGGGGAGGAGGGAAGCCTCTGAACAGAATGACACTTAGGAGGGAAAAATAGCACAAGATAATTGTGCACAAATTATGCACCTGCTATCCCTATCAATATCTGGTTGCAAATAAACATCCTCTGTAGTGTGGGGGGATAGAATACTTTCCTCAGAAAATCCTTAGCTTGGTTTTACCTTCCATCTCTGAAGACTTGCACCTTTGCAAGAAAATTATTTAAATTCATCATAGGGAATCAGATTGGTAAAAGTTAGGAAGTACCAAATTTAGGATGACAAACCTTCTCCTGACATACCTTGGAGTAAATCGGATAGAGCTTCCCGAGTATGTTCTTGTGTTGGTTGCTTGCATTTACTCGTGTTTCCTCCATCTGACTGTTTGCATTTTACCATATCCCAGGATGACTCTGTAGCATGTCTGTGCCAACATCAATCAAATAAAGAATTTGGGGCAGCAGTTGTATATTGAGTCCCAGAGCAAATGGCAAAATAGAAAAGACCAGGTCCCAGGTGCTGAACTGCTGGAAGGTGAGTTTATAGAAGGCTGATTCCCATATTTAAGTGGGAACTTCCCAAGAGCTTACAGTCACGATGTGACACATGTTCTTTGCTGAGTCTGACGGTTTCACTCTTCAGATCTCTTTTAATAGCGCAGTAGAATGTGTTATCGCACAGTGTACAGATGAGATAGCATTGGCCAGAGCAGATTGCATAGGGAATGTTGGCACACTTAGATTCTTGGCTCAGTGTGCCACCTTATAAGCTAGTAGAATACTCTTAGCTTTAGTGTTGTGAGGAGCCATAGCCTCTTGTGGCTTAGAGGTGGGATGTTTTGATTTGTAAGTTGAGGTGAAAGCAGAAGAAAGTAGGTAAAAGCTACTTTGCAGTTGGCAGCATCTGAAATGCCAGTTTATAAACCTAATTTATGCAGAGAAATTTGGTATTGGAGTTTGATTCAGGATGTGAAGGGTATTTCTATTTGCCTGTCTGTTAGTTTTACTTACTTCCCACCCCCTTAAACCTAAAAATGGAAGTGGCTGTTAGTAAATGCAAGAGAGAGAGGACACAATGAGTGAGGTGGAGGTTGCATCTTAAGTTTTAGTCTTTTTTGCTTTTGAACAATATGTCTGTTTCTGAAAAATGTTGCATTGGAATGTGAACGTAGAAGTAGTGATGTAGTATTGCAGCACTGAAGGTTATAGTATTGCAGGCCACACACCCCATAAAAGCTTATGCAGGGACAGCTTTGAAAGATGTTTTTGAAAATTTCTTCTTTTCTAGGCAAGCAGCACACCACTTTCTATATTCTTCAGGCACTAAGAAATAACATCAGTCAACACCAAGCCAGTTCCATCCTATCAGCAGATTAATTGTGTGTGGACAGTATCATCAGGTAGTAAACTGACAGATTTTTTTTTGTTTTTTAGTTTGGTTTGCTTACTGTTAAGTAGGGGAGGGTAACTGTAACTAAGGAAAAGTACAGTTTGTATCTGAATCACGTGCCTAGATGTTGAATTGCAGGAAGGTGGTTGGAAATGAGCCCTGTTTTGAGACATGAAGTGTGGCTTCTGTTAATTTAATTGTGCCAAGAACAGTGAGTTTGCATTTGAAGTGTGTCTATAAATTAACTTACGTAAATAGGACCAAGGGACTGGTGTAATAATGCATATGTAACATTGTTTTCCCATCTTAAGATATTCCATCTTATTAATGATATTATGAATACACAGGAAATACCCATCAAAAATGCAAAGGGTCTCCATGCAAATTCAGATTTTTCTCTTATTGAATATGCAATATCGTTCCAAAAATGAAATAAAAAATGATACTGAACTATATCTTTCCTGATCTTCAGGTTGTTTTGGCTTGGCGGGACTGAAGCTAAGAAATCTAAGCTGCCAATTTACCTTTGAGCAAGCACAGCTTCTTACACTTCTCTTCTGTAGTCTGAGAATTTTGCAAAAACTCAAGACTTTTCTTACTTTTAAAATTGAAAACAGAACTATTTCTATCCCACAGATAGTGTTACACATTCTCCTTCAAAAGAAAACAACTGTAACTGTACAAATTAAAGATGTTAATTTGTGAGAGCTCATCAAGAGCTGGTCATGTAATTGTGATATGCTTATATTACAGATATCTAGAGAGCTGAAGTATTCCAGCATTAAAAAGGAAGTGTACATCCTGTGCAAACATATCCTCTTCCTCTTCAAGCAAGCCCAGCAAAGCCAGAGTGAAGTCCAGGCATTGGAAGGTAGTAGGAAGTCAACAGGCATTCATAATGGAAACAGAATAGCATATCTGCTTGTTATGTTACTGCCATAGTTTCCATTATTTCTGTCCTTTGAAACCTGCTGATTTACACTGACAACACACAGCTTCCCTTTTTCGGCTGTGTTTAGAGACCTTACTTAGAGCTGATGTAAACAGCTGGCTTTGTGCTGTTTTGGGGGTTTTTTTGCTGAAAAATGAAACTTGAAAAACTTAAGCTGTTCATCTTGATTATGCTGCCATTTAATAAGCGGTGGTTTGATCCTATACTTTTTCATTTATTTTGAAAATATAATTTGTTTATTTAAAGAGTTTGCGTAATGAGTGTAAGGGGAAAATGTCATTTTTGTGAACAAAGACAACTAGATGAATTAAGAGACATGGGAACTAATTTTGGGACTTGAGATTTTTTTCTTTAACCATTAGATGCATGTATCTTGCCACCAGTAATTTCCAAGGCTGCATTGTCAGCTGAACCAGGGGAGACTAAAAGAGCAGGCAACAGCAGTTGTGGTCAGAGCTCCACTGACAGACCTGACTTTGACCACCAAGGCTCTGAGTGTGGTGTCTGTTACCAGCCAGTGCAGTTACAACAGCACCATTGTGCATGTGCCACATCCTGAATCGGGATGGGGCCCAGCATACAGGGGCCAGGGACGCAGTGACTGGAAGGGAAAAATGAAGTTAATGCCTCAAAACCAGGTCCAGTTTCAGTGGGCCTAGGCTAGAAGGCCTATCTAGATTAAAGGGGCAGAGGAGGCTGAAGCCCCAACAGAGGGTCACCATACCTGTAACATCCACAAGGCATGGAGCGTGGTAAAGGGGGGAATTTAGAGCCATGCAATTAGCCCTTAAGGCTGCGGGTGCCCTGCCGGGCACAGCCGACTACAGAGGCCCAACCAGGGGCCTGGGACCAGTGTGAATGAGGCTTAGCAAAGGTCCGTGGGCAGCCTCCCCATTTATTTACATTACCATCAAGGTGTGACATGCGAAACAGGAAGGTGCCCTAGAGGCAGAGTGAGGCACAGTTGCAGAGCTTGAAACAGAGACGTCACAGAGACGTCACGTCTGACGTTGCAGAGACGTCACAGCTTGAAACAGCGAAATTGAAAGGAAATGAAAGGCTTCGAAACAGCTTTAAAATGAAACAAGGGCACTCGAAACTTTCAGAGTTTCGAAGCCGGCTTGCTTGCATCTAAACAGAAACTAAGTAGAGGGAGGGGGAAGAAGGAGGAAGGACTGCTCTGATATTGATAGCTAGCTCCTGGCTCAATTCCCCAGCTCTCTGATCATTCCCCCAGCTCTTCCCGGGGAGAACTTGCCCCTGCATCTGTGCGCCGGGTTCCAGCAGACTGCCACTGCAGGCTGCTGAAACCTGGCATGCAGATCTGGGGGCCTGTGCTCCCCGGGAAGAGCTAGGGGAATGAACAGAGAGCTGGGTTGGTAGGGCATTGTGCAGTTCTGCACACTGTTGGGTGTGCGGGCCGGGAGTGACCCGAGCCCTTTTCCGTGCTGCACGCAGGCTGTGGCCAGCAGCCCGGGCATGCTGGATCGGGGAGGGAGGGCGACGAGCTGGAATTAGGCACAAACGCTTAGCGGGAGGTTTAAAGATTGTTTACTTACACCGAGATGGCAGTGGTGTAGGCTGGAAAACTTGCTTGAGTTGCAGTTACAGACACAGACAACACGGACGGTCACATGGAGTTTGCTAGGCTCCACGGAACAGAGCTCCGGATGCTCTGGGTGAACGCGCCACCAAAATCGAAATCGGACATACGTCTTATAAAATTTGCGATCGAAGACGGGAAGAGGTGTGCGATGGATCAGGTCGCCAAGCTCCTCTGAATCTCACACAGGGTCTCTATTACCCTGCTGTGTATCCAGAGTCCCCACGAGATGGATGTGGAGTCCTCTTCGGCTTGGGCGGAAAATGCTCAAGCCTCTTATACGGCTAACAGGCCAATCGTTAGCCGCCACGTGGGAATAATTTAAAACTAGCCAATAGCGGGGAACGAATTTGCATACCGGTGGTGGGAACTGTTTTGCAGCGTGCATTCCTCTTGCAACTCGAGCAATGCACTCTGCAAAAGAAGCTGCAAAAAGGCGGGAAACTCGTCCCTGCACCGGGGTTTTCCTGTGTAACAGGAAACTCTCCCGTGCAATGAAGCTGCAACTTGGCGGGGATAATTCTGGTGCCGAAGCGCACACAAAATCATGCCTTTGGGTCATGACATTGGGCTGCTTTGGCTGTCACCTGGGCCCTGTGCTGCTGGGGGGCGCTCTGCCACATGGCTCTGGTTCCCCCAATGGCAGCTGCTACTGCCAGTGAGTACATGGGTTTTTTGTTTTTTTTTTCCCAGAATGCTAGGGCCAGGTAGCGCAGCAATAGTGTTGGCGGGGGGAGGCCTCAGGAGGCAGGCGGGGGATGGGGCCAGGCAGGGCAGCCATCGGGGGCTCGGGGAAGGAGTCGGGTGGGACAGCCATTGGGGAGGCTTGGGGGCAGGTAGGGGATTGAGCCAGGTGGGGCAGCCATCAGGGGGGCTCAGGGGAGTGGGCTGGGCTGGTGGGGGGGGGTCCCCCCACATGTTCCCTTCCCCCACTTCTCCAGTCCCCCAACCCTTTACTTAATAGCATGAGCCTGGGTCCAGCTCCCTGCTGCTGGCATGCTGCCTGCCCCACACAGGTAGGCAGCATGCTTCAGCACTGGGGTGAGGGCCAAACAGAGATGCTCTGGCTGGCTATCAGAAGGTCTCTATGGAGAACATTTCTGATCTCTGTGGAGAACATTCCCCCCCTCAGTGTGGGGAACATGTTTTTGTTCCCGCACATGCCTCTTGCAGCCATCTCAAATGGCTTTGAGATGTTGCAAGAGACACATGCAGGCTTGTCTGGACACGCCCACAGAAGGTTTCCTTATCTCCTCTGCCTTGATTTGGAGTTTCTAGCAGTTTGTATCCATATGGAAAGATTATACATGTTAAATTTTACAATATTCTGTCCATGTATTAACACCTAAAACCCAACAACTATCATTTCAACCTTGCTTTCCAAACAAAGCAGTCCTTACCTCTTTATGGTAAAGAATGAATCCTAATCACCCAGATTTGCCATATTCCTGTGATGTTTCCACCTAGCTTTCTGTGAGAATTAAAAGGGGCCCTGTTAGGTTTGTTACAGCATTTTTTCCTACATTATTAACAACACACAGAATTCCTAAACCAAAGTACTTTAGACTTTAATCTGTTTATCTTTGCTGTTCTCTCATTTACAACTGTCACTAAACTACTTAGTTCAGTGTTGTTTTCTAGTCATGTTCAAGTTGTTAAGCGGGGAGGTATTATTATAGCATTTTGTTTGCTGTCATTTCAAGGAAATGTGTGTGTGTGTTTAAAAAAATTCTGTTACCCTTTAAACACAAGAATTGTGTTTAAGCCCTTCTCCTGAAATAAGGATTTCTAAAATCTATTTTTTACAGAAATTAAACTTCGTGGCCATTGGTGATGCATAGGTCGTGCACCCCCTCAGGTTGGCTGTGCACCCCCTGAAAGCGCCAGCCACGGAACTGGAAGTGCCGGTGGAAGTGCACTTCCGGTTTCACCGCTGGTGGTACTGGGCTCAGCAGTTGGCCAGTGGGGGACCCCCTCCTCTCCCATCGGCGATCTGGTGCCCTGCCCAGACTCAGGAAGCACCAGTCGCCCATGTCCATGGCCAACTTGAGCAGACAGTATTCTTTAACCTTTTGCAGACTTTACCTGCTCTGCTGATGCCCCTTGGCTTCCTTTTTCCCACTAAAAGTAAAAACCTTCATTTGGATTTTAGTTCTTTCATTTTGAATTTGTTCTCTTTGAAAGTATGAGATGCAGGAGGAACTCAGACACTTACTACTTGGTGTACCTGAACTTCAAACACCTATGGATTTAAATGCTTCAGTTTAGGCATCCAAATTCAGAAATTTTGGCCGTATTTTATATGTATTTTCAGCTGCAGCATAAACTGTTTAAGATGCTTGCACAGCAGGCATGTGAATTGTGGAAATTGCACTAGCCATTTGCCAAATCCTAGTATTAAAGGAACTGCTTAAGCTGCTTTAAGCCTGACTGAATTTAAGCTCAGCAGCTTGCTTCTTACTCTTCATTCTTGCTCCTCATATTGGTATTTAATGTGTTCTCCTCTTCTCCAGCTGTTTCCACTTCTTTGAGAGCAGTTCCCAGTCACTGAAAGTACCAATTACAAAGGGATGGGAGGTACTCCATAAATAACTTGCTGTGAAAAAAGTAATGCATCTGTACAAAGGGAACTTCAGGCAGTCACCCATTTCATTTCCTTGCTGGGCTCTTGAGCAAATTTTCCTGTCAATTTTGATAAAATTATTTGGGTTACGTTAGTCACCAGTGTGCACATAAAATAATAGCTTGTATAGTTGCTGCTAATTAGCAAAGCCAAAACAATAATTTGACGCTTCTGAGTCATGATGGCTTGCCTCTTCACTAGTTGGACATGAGGCAGTTAATATACACTTAATACTTGCATGGCTTTTTCACCATAGTTCTTATGGCAGGTCACAAGATGCTTCCGGATAATGACAGGTGGGGTAAGAGAACTGAGGCATAGAGGCAATTTGCCAAGGATGCATCCCTGGAAGAGCCAAGAACGATCCAGTGTCTGGAGTCACAGTGCAGCATGCTATTCCTTGTGCCCTGCTTGTTATAAAGGAGAAAATGCTTGGAATTATTGGGACTCAGATATTTATTGTGGGTTGGAATTTCATATTGATTAAAACATCTCTTTAGCTTTGGGGAGTCTAGTACTTTTTGTTCTCATGGTGTCTGCCTCTCTGAAACTCTGTCCAACAAGGTTCCTTTGCAAGTCAAATCTTAAATGAACCATACATGAGTACTGTAAAAGTGCATGGCATGCCATAGCCATAAAGTTTCTTATTTTGAGAAGCTTGCAGTCAAAGACCCCAATTCTACAGAGACTTAGACTCCTGATCAGTAATCATGCACCTTGGTAGTCATTGGGTGTGTCTACATGTTCATTAATGCATTTTTGGTAACGTGCATTAAATTTAGTACTTCCATTGTGAGGTACTAAAAGAAGGTACATTAGCCTATTTTAATGCACATTAGCAAAAATGCATGGCTTTTTTGTGACCCTTTAATGCACATTAAAATAGGCTAAAGCACATTAAAATGCATGTGTAGACATGCCCATTGTGTAGCAAGAAGTGACAGATGGAGTGAGCAATAAGGTATTAAAAAAACAATACCCGAAGACATGTGATTGTGGTATGTAGGGAATTATGATATTTGCTTACTGATGGAGAATGAAATAATTTTACCCTCGGCTACAGACCGTTGCATTCCCTGAACCAGAGTTAGAAGGAAAATATGCCTGGCTCCCATGGCATCTGCTCAGCCCACTACCACACACTGCTTTACTATAGAATTGACCTGCGCTGAAAACACATATCAGATCTTTCTCTCCATCATTTCCAGGCATGGACATATTTGTGTCAGTTTATCTTAGCTTTGTAGTTGGTCTCACTCAGGCCTTGTGCACATAGTTTTGATCTGAAAGGCAGGCAGATCATGTACAGTAGCCAAGCTCTCTTAGTTCATTGATGTGGCCTGATTTTGCCTGGTGTAGTTAGAACACTACTCAGTGGGTTAGAGCTTTCCCCCAAGGAGTTGCTTTAAAAATAAAAAAAATAAAAGTGATATTGCTACTGGCTAAAGATTAAAATGTAAAGCCAGTAGTAATGAAGATTTTCCTGTCCGCTGCAGAGGTGTTGGCAAATCAGACATTCAGTAGTTGGAGGTGATAAAACTTTACTATGTACAGAACTGCAGAGTTGTTAGAACAAATCATAACGTTTAAAATACAAATTTTTAAAAATGGTCTTTTTTCACAAATCAACTGAATAATATTGTGTGAGGAATTACTTGAAGAGTGCACTTATAGTGATGGTGGTTTGTAAACTTTCTTACTGCATACGATGTTGGACGGAATTACTTAATAAAGATGGTTGTGTGATTTCAGTTGTTTTGTTTCCTTCTTTCACTGTTTGTTTTTCGTTCACTACCAGGAATGGTGTTGGTTGTTGAATGCTGATACAGTGGAGTCACATTTGCTAACTGCAAAGGACATTTACTGAAAATAGAAACTTGTGGGGTTCAGCATTCAGAATTTAGACATGAAGTTTGTTGGATCAGAGGGGCTGGTAAATAGTGAAAGCATCTTTTAATTATTTAATTTCATTGGCAAGGTTTAACTCCTTTGACTTAAGATAATTTTCACTCTATTCCTGTGCTTTCTGGTGCCCATGGAAGCTTTCTTTGCAGATCAGCCCCTTCTTACCATTCTTTATCAGTTCCTTATTGACTCCTAAAATATTTGAGGTCCATCTTTCTTCCATGTGGCTTTTTGAGTCATTTCCTAGAAGTTCTTGTTCATTGCTGAAGCAGCAGAAAATGAGAGGCTTTGTGGCTAATGCTGACCTGGTGACCTGTGCAAGAGCAAGATGCCTGTTGATACCCAGAGATTTCTGATAGCTACTGTGTGCATTAACCCACTCCATGTTTGCAGGGACATTTTTTCTGTGTCATGGCTGGTTCCATCTGTCTTAAGATTCATGAAAAGTGAACAAGATTTATTAGAGCTGTTGGCTTTGTTTAAGCAGCTGGGTCACAGATTGATGATGTATGCCAGAGAGATTGATGTGACCTACTTCGCTGGTAGTTGCAGCTTTAGCCCCAGATGTACAGAAGCCCTTGCTAGCAGGCCTCTTACACAAGGTGCATGCTGCAGAAAGTAGGATTCCCTTATACCTTTCTGCAGGCCTCTTGAGCTCACCTTGTTCATGGGGAGTTTCTGGTCCACATCATTCTGTGATAGCAGTGAGGGGCACAACTCCATGCTGCTGCTGCCCTTGCTGCTGCTGGACAGGCAGCCGGCACCTTGCCATGGGTCACGGCAGCAGCACAGAGCTTCCCCCCACCACTCACCACCCCTTCCCCCCCCCCCTCAGGTCCCACCTGCTGACCCATAGGGCCCCCTGGGGGGAGGGCAGCAGGGTGGGGAGCCCTGAGCGCTGCAACAAGCATCCCACATCCTCCTCTGCCCCATGCACGAATTGGGAAGCATGTGCTGCTCCCATGCCCCTCCTACATGTTGTCTCTGGCACCTGACCCACCACTGGGAGTGTGTGCAGTGGCAGGGAGCCAGCCCCCACCCTGACATCCCTCAGACAAGCTGCCAATGACTCTGCCCACTCCCTGGCCAGGCCCCAGGCACTGCCCTGGCTGGGCAGTGCCCCCAGCCGCTAACCCTGCCCTCCCTCCCTCACCATGGGGGCGTCCATCTGTATCCCCCTGCTTTCCCTGTGTGTCACCTATGCCCCCCCCCCCCTAGACTTACCTGCAAGCAGCTGGGAGAACTGCTCTCCACCCCTGCCTGGCTGTATTGCTGGGTAGGTGAATGTATGTACACACACATAGGTACATGGCACCCCCTGCATCCCACTCCCCCGCAGCCCCTTGCAGGCTGGAATTCTGCCAGCCTGCAAAGGGAAACCTGTGGTTTCTCATCTTTTTTCTTCTTTAAAAGATAAAATCTGTTGTTTTCCATGGTGAACAGAAAACTGGATCCCTGCTGATAATAAAGATGGTTCCCCTGTTATTTGCTGTGTGATCTCTCCAGGACAAGCACCCACAGATGCATAAAATTTCTGTTGTATTTTTCCCTAGTGATTAAAATTGTTTTCTCTTTTCTTAAATTTGGCTGTCCTTTGAATTGAGTGCCTCATCTCAAGAGGAGTTTGCAACCTCACTGCTTTGACTGACTTGGGGTCCCATCATACTATGACAAGATCATCCCTGGACAATGCCTGTCCAACCTCCTCTCGAAAACCTCCAGTGATGGAGAGTCCACAGCTTCCCTAGGGCATTCTAGTCCACTGCCCTACCATTTTATTGGTGAAGAAGTTTTTCCTGATATCCGCTCTAAACCTACTTTGCTGCAATTTCAAGCCATTGATCTGTGTCCTGCTTTCTGCAGCAACATGCTCTCTGTGTCCTGCTCTCTTCCTTAAGACAGTCCTTCAAGTATTAGAACACTGCTACTGTGTCCCCTCGTAAGTGCCTTTTCTGCAAGCTGAACATGCCTGGCTCCTTCAACCTCTCCTTGTACGATTTACTTTCCAAGCCCTTTATAATTTTTGTTACCTCCCTTTGGACCATCTATGACTTCTCCATGTCGTCTTTAAAATGTGAAGGCCAAAACTGTACACAATATTGTAGATGAGGCCTAACCAGCGCCAAGCAGAGAGACTTAACGCTTTTCCTGTCTTGCACCTAATGCTTCTATTGATGCATCCCAAAACTGTTTGCCTTTTGTGCGGCTGCATCACACTGCAGACTCATATCGAGTCTGTGATCCTTCTCAATAGTGCTGCTAGCTAGTTAAGTGTCACCCATTCTATATTTGCATTTATGATTTCTTCTTCCCAAGGTGGAGCACCTTGCATTGGTCAAAACTGAAATTCATCCTGTTAAGTTTCAGTCCACCTTTCCAATCTGTCAAGATACTTCTGAATTTCAGTCCCATCATCTGTGTTTTCAATCCTTTCTATGATCATGCCATCTGCAACCTTGCTCAATAAGCTTTTGTGCCAGCATCCAAATAATTAAAAAACATGTTGAACGGCACTAGTCCCAGGATAGACCCCCTGTGGGACTCCACTCCAGACTTCCTGCCATTCTGACAGTAATTACCCTTTGCTTGCAGCTATTGAGCCAGTTGTTTATCCACCTAATAATAGTTTTGTTTAGCCCACATTTCTCCAGCTTGTTTATAAAAAGGTCAATGGAACCTTCTCACAAGACTTGCCGAAGTCCAGATATACTATATCCACAGCATTCCCTTCATCCAACCAAGTTGTTAACTTTGTCAAAGAAGGAGATCAGATTTATTTGACATGATCTGTTCTTAGTAAATCTGTGCTGGGTGCTTGTGGTCAGCCTTTCCTCCTACAGATGCTTGCAAATGGACTTCCTTAGGATATGCTCCAGTAACTTCCTGGTTATCGGGTTGATGCTGATTGGTCAATAGTTCCCCAGGTCCTCCTTTTTTGCCTGTTTTAAAGAGAAGCACTACATTGGCCCTTTTCCAGTCTTCTGGTACCTTACCTGTCTCCCATGACTTCACAATTATTATTGCCAAGAGCTCCAAGATCTCTTCTGCCGGTTACTTTAGTACCCTGAGATGACTTGAATTCATTCAGACCCTTCAAAAGCTCTCTATTTGTCTCTCTTGTTATCTCATTCTTCAGCTTGTCCCTGTCCTTCATTAGGTGTCTGACTGCAGCTTAAATTTTTTTGTGAAGACTGAGGCAAAATAGCTGTTCAGTAGTTCCAGTTTCTTTGCATCTTCTGTAAAGTGTTCCCCCAAGCTGTTATAACGGACCCACGGCTTCCTTGGTAGCTGGATTGTGACTCCAGCCAGCCAAACTCCGGTTTTGGGCAGTGTGCACTGCCACCATGTGCACCACTCCGCTTTTTCTGGCATGGGTTTTTTTGACCCTGGGATCTCCCAGGGTTAACCCCCCCCCACCCCCCGCTCCCTACCAGTGCTGCAAAGTAGCAGCATGGAGAACACCTGCATATGCAGTATGTGGTGACACAGATGAGTCTGCAGTGCCACATACTGCACGTCTGTGCTCATCTGGATGCAGCCAAGGGAGGAGTGAATCATCTTCCCTTGAACATCTACCTGTTGTTGAATAATCCAAAGACTTCAAGCTGACACCACCATCTCAGACATACGTACGATGGTTCCGGCCTAGGCCCTTGCCTTCCATGGGGAGGATCGATGAGAACACAACTTGTGCTCCACAGCTCTAATCTGCTCGGTGACATTCCTGGCGGTATTGTTGGTGCCTACATGGATAATCAGGAAAGGGTAGTGGTCTGAGGGATGGATGTTTGGCAGCCTTCCTCTGCAGATATCAGCACCTTACTTATGTTTAGCCAGAAACGGCCCAGGGAGCCCAGGCCTTCTGGGCATCTGCTTAGGAGATTGAAGGCAGAAGGGTGTGGGAAGGGAAGTTGTCACCTGCTGGATATAACTGCTGTGCTTGGTAATGTGCATTACAGCAGGGTCACATGCCCCCCTACCCCTTCCCTCATGATTCCTCCTGCACCCTGGCAAAATGAACAATCTCCTGTGGGTTAATTTACACCATCACCCTCTCTCTTGGCTGGCATTAGTTTGTCACTATGAACATTCATGGAAATGCCTTGCACAAGGCTGTGCAGTATAGTGCTGATTCACTCATCCTGCTGCTGAGAAGGTTTAAGGGAGGCATCCTGTGGGGCTTCTGATTTCCCAGGCTGAGCCCTCTGTATGTTTGTTTCTCCCCACTACCAAGTACAGGGTGAGGGGGCGGAGCTGGAATCGCCACAAGAAAGTAACTCATTGCTCACAAAATATTTGCAAAATGTAGAATATTTATTAATTTCCAAACAGCACAGGATGTGGAGTTAAGAGTCAGCTTCATATTTTTTTTATTGTTCTCCTTTTAAGTCAAGTAAATCTATGTACACATTTCCAGGATAGTTGTTAACATCTGTATAAATAAAGCAGTTGGGCTCAGAGAGGTTACACGCAGGTATAGGTTACACACAGTATTTCCAGAAGCACTCAGAGGGGTTTCCACGTTTCTTGTACTGTTTTCTGTCCTTGGCCAGCAGGCGACTCAGCAGAGCAAGTCGTGGATGACTTCCATAGAGGGCCTAAGATCAAACAGCCCAAGGCAAGTTTAGTGACTGGGGAAGACTTGGCCTAAATCCTAGGAAAAATCCTTGCAGTGAGATACAGCCCTTTTGCTGTCTCCTACTGGGTTGTGTAACCCTATATTGTGCTTAGCTCAGAGGGAGAGAACCATAGCTCAGCTGTGAGAATTAACAGCTCTTTCTGTATCACTCTTTTATATAGGAGCAAGGTGTGGTAATGGTTAGGGATGGTTTTGCATTACCTGTTGTCTTGGGGTTGGGTGACTTGAACTGCAGTGGCAAAGAAGTGTCATGTGCACACGCCAGGTCCTGAGTGGGCCTTCATGTCCACATGGGCACGAGTTGACCAGGACTCCTAATGTCAGACCCGGTTATTTAAGAAGGCAGTTTTCCAGTGGAGGGCTGAAACACTAAAATAATGAGGAAATGGTTTTGATTTTCCCCAATTCTGGGTTCCTTTGTTTTAAAAGCTATTTTTAAATTAAGATTGTTCCTGTCAGTAGCTTGCTGAATTCCTCTCTTGCTGCTGCTTGTATATAATACTTCCTACATCGGCAACTGGAGTTGTCATACATGGACTAAGCCATGCTTAAGGTCAGTGGATCTTTAAAAGGTTTCTCATTATGCAGTTCCCTTTAGCCTAACCCTAGGGACCTTTCTCTGACAATAGCTGGTCAGTTACCTCTTTCATGCTTTCCTGTGGGCTGTAGCTGTGAAAGCTGAGACCTGAAAAACAAAATACAATGAATTTCTTCTTTGCTTGGAAATGGAGTTTGTACCTGCCCCCTTACCCACCCTCATGCAGCTTGCTCTTCGCTGCAACAATATAGTTCAGCAGAGCAGCCAATATCAATGCTCTGAGGAGCAGCTAACAGCTGTTCCCAAGGACACAAGGCAGGTCTGTGCTGTGGCATGCATCAAATTTTGGAGCAGCAGTTTTGTACTGAGTCTGACCTCCAAGGGCCCCTCATCACAGCCATTGTACTTAGCAATATCCACAGCTGTAAATTTCTATGCCTGAAAACACTGTTGCTTTTTCAGATCATGTGAGAGCTGTCAGGTGCAGTGATCATCCCCAGGCTAAGTTCTGACTTTATCTAGAAAAACCCCTTTTCCAGCAGAAACCGCAGCAGTTTAAGAAAGTTTTTTCAGGGGCCACCAACTCAGACTTGCCCGCTGAGAGAGTAGAGGGTTCCCTTGCCCCCATTGTCTTGTTCTAGGTCAGGGGTCGGCAACTCCCGGCATGAGGGCCGAGCATGGCACATGAGGCCGTTTTCCTTGGCACACGTGGGGGCGGGGCGGGGAGGCAGCAGCTGTTTTGAACCTCCTGGCTGTGGCTGACCCAGGTTCTGGGTAGCTGCTGATACCCACAGAGCCTGGGCTGGGGGGCAGGGGCTTTGGGTGGGGACAAGTGGCACAAGCAGGGCTGGGGGCAAGGGCTTTGGGTGGGGGTGAACGGGCACAAGCAGGGCATCTTGCAATGTACCCCCTGCCCTTGTTTTGTTTTTCTGACATGTTGGCACTCTAGCACCTTCCAAGGTAGGCATTGTGGTTTTTTTCAGCACTCCGGCCAAAAACCGTTGCTTACCCCTGTTCTAGGTAGTCAGTGAGTCCTCCCTGAGTTGAAATGTCCCTGCCTGGGGAGGTTTGGGTAGTCCACAAACAGTAATCATTGGTGGCACTATGCTCTGGAAAGATTGTTTCTCTCTGCTCTGAGTGGGGGGTATTCAAAGGGGCCGGGAACCTTTTGCTGGGATTGGCAGCTGACCTTGATACCAGAGTACTTTGAAGCTTTGCTCAGCAAAGTGCAGCCAATCCCTGATGACTGCTAACAGGTTTCTCCCAGAGGCCCCTGTCTGCAGCCTGCATGCTGTGGACATTCCTGAGCACGGATCCGGAGCCTGGGGTGCGTCCATGTAAATAGGGCAGGTCGGTCGTACCTGTTTTGCTATCCTTGTTCTGTGCATCCAGGAGCCCCTGCAGGGTCTGCAGCAGGGACGCTCTCCCCAAGGCATCTAGTCGCTCCAAGGTTAATTTTGAATTATCATCCTCTGCTTTTGAAAGGAGACATGAAAGGGAGCAGTCAGAGCCCAGGTGTGTCATCCCTGCTTTGTTGTGGGTCATGTGCCACTGACTAGCTGGTTAACTGGCTGGCTACCATGGGTTCTTATATCTGCTGAATTACATTCTCTCCATATCAGCCAGCTAAGTGATTGTATGTATTATGCATATGTGTTAGACTTTCCTACAAATGCCTGCCATATTTGAATGAAATGTTAAACATTTAATCTGTTTCAATCAGAAAAATAAATTGTGGAGATGGGGGTGGCAGGTTGGCTCAGAAAGTGATTATAGAATATGAAAGTTCTAGCTTGTAGGTTTCTAGACTGAATCCATCAAAGTTCAGTAGCAACCAAATGTACTTTCCATCAGTTTTCTTTGTGGTAGCCTATGTAAAATGAATTAACTTCAGTTTATCCTAGCAGAAGATGTATTCCCTGAATCCATTTCTTTAACTACTTATTTTGTCCCATCCTCACAATAGTGTGCATCTGTGTATTAAGACAATACAATCTGTGTATTAAGACAGAAGTTCAGGTCCAAGACTGGTTAACCTGGTCCATTTTATGAATATTAAATGCAATAAAATCTTGCAGAAATAAGAAATTATACCTATAATTAGACTTCATGGTGCATTTTCTTTATAGCTGTCATTCTCAGTATGTACTGTGACAGATGTCACTAATTTTTCCAAAATAATAGGTCACTGGGGTCAGATGGGATTGATTTTTATTTACACAGAGAATTAAAACAATTGGTTGAGGAATGGTTCATCTCTCCAGGCAAGTTGCAAGCAAGAACCCTTGCTGCAAATGGCATGCTTTATGAGCTAATCGTATCTTGTCAAGATGGGCAGCAAATTACATCTTTGCAAACAATAGTGAAAATTCAGAAGAGTGGGAAATGAATCAGGGTTGATTAGTAAAATCTGATGGGCTAGAGCAGGGGTTTTCAACTTTTTTGGGGTCAGTGTACACCCAACGGCTGGATGCCGAGCCGGAGGGAAAGGGGCAGCATGCAACCTGCCCCCACCCCACATATCTGGCCTGGTGGACAATGCCTGTGTGGGATGGTGCATGGTGGCACTCCGTCCCTAGAGCAGCATTTCTCAACTCGTAGGTCACAACTCAAGTGGGTCACAAGAATATATGAAAGGATCATGAACAAACTTTAAAAATGGATTTTCCTTTAAAGGAAAAAAACATGGAAACTATGGCTTTTCCTTTGCAGGCTGTTAGAGTTCCAGCCTGCAAGGGGCTGCTTGGGGCCCCCCATGTCCTACACACTTACCTCCTGTCCTATATACTGGGGGGCTGGGAGTAGGGGGTAATGGGGTTGGGAGTGAGAAGCACTGGGCTGAGACTGGCCATCAATGTTTACAAATGGGTCCGGGTACAAAAAAACCTGAGAACCACTGGGCTAGAGGATAGTGATCCTGAAGCCAATCCTGAAGCTCTTGAAATGATACCAGAAACAAACTATAGGCAACTGGAAGTCTTCCCACCTCATTCCCATTGGCTGTTGGAAAACTTTGTTTATGAAGTTTTAAAAGAAATTCCTTGACAGAACTGAAGGCTGTTTTTTTTCTTATTAATTATATGAAGGGATAGTTGCAGATGACACTGGAAAGTTTAAAAAATTAGTCTGTACATAAGGCAGGATTTTACCTCCTTGTGTTGTATGAGAAGACATATCACAGATTTATTCCTCACCTCCTTATAGCAATGCTGTCAGATAATGTTTGAGAAGTGTACCAAACTCCCCCACCATCCTGGCATGCTCTCTGGGCTGGGTGGGGCTCTCTGCTCCACAGCAAGACTAGCCCTCTCCCCTCTGCTCCCTGGCTGGAGCTCGGTATAGACTGCAGGCACAGCAAGGTCTGCCTGGCTTCCCCCGCCCTACCCCCACCCCCTTGCTGCTCAAGCAGGGATCCTCCACTCCCTCCCATCTCCCACAGCATGGACCCCAGCCCCACGGACCCTAGGCATGTGATATGCTAGCTAATGCTGAGAAGTGTCTCTATGTGTGAGTGTCTCCAATTTCACTGGGACAAGCAGACAGAACAGTGACTGCTTGGGGCTTCTTGGAGCTAATCAACAGGTCAACCTATAAGCTGTTTAAGAAGAGTTTGATCTAATGGAGAGAGGCTGTTGTTTTGCTGATGGGGTGATAAACACTTATCAGCCTCTGCTGGCTTGCTTGCCTGTCAGCTTGCTGCAGAGAGGGAGATTGAAAACTTCCATATCATCAACAGGTGCATGCACTGCAGACTCCTGCCTTGCCTCAGTGCTAGCTGGGGGCTGGTAACACTCCTGCCCCTTGAGCAGCCAGGGAGGAAAAGCCTTGGATGGTACAGGCAGACCTCCCTAATCAGAGGTCCTGCCAGGGCCTGGCCACGCCCCCCTCAGCTCAGCCTTATGGAAGGGAAGGGAGGGCTGCTCTAGCCCCCCCAGCTTCTAGCCTGAGCCACTGCAGGCATGTTCCTGAATTTCCTCAGTCCAGCGAGAATGTCTGTCCCATTACAAACTGATTCAGCCTAGCCAGGTTAGACTAACCTGCAAAGATTGAATCAATTCAGGCTCAGGCTTCTTGAATGTCTGTCTCTAGCCCAGGAGAACAGCAGCGTTTAAGATCCAGAGTAGGTCATTGTGCTCCCCTCTGCCTGGGCAGTTCTGTGAGATCACGTAGGTGCTGTTCTGCAGCACTCCTTGTTCTGTGATTCCTGAGCCCCAGGAAATTGCTCAGCCAGTACTGCTCTACCTCTGACTGTGGCAATGTCTCTCTTCTAGTTCTGGACTCCCATCCCCTTGTCCTGAAGCCTCTGTGTCCTGATCAGTG